CGGGCTTAGTCTGACTAAGCTTACAGTTGCCTATTATTTTTGCAAATAACTTTTTTTTAGTTTATCCTATTAGAACAGACATAATGGACTTTGTCACAAAAGTTGATCATCCTGGCTGGTACATTGTTGCCAGTATTAGAGTCTTATACATATCGCGGTAAAAATATTGCTTATTTAGGCGCACCTACCTCAAGTCAATCAAAAAATGACATACAACCAATTTTGGTTTGTATGTATGTGGAGCTTAAAAGACTAATTTGGCACACGTCTATTAGAGGCAAAAAAAAAACAAATTAGCAATTTTGTAATAATACAAGTAGGTACATAATAATTACGTAAATTTTATGCAGTAGATATTTAACACATATTAAAGCAAGATATATATCTATATCCAAGAAAACAATTACTAAATGAAGTAAAGAGATTATTAAGTAAAAAACAGAATAAACTATTAGGTATTATTGCTTTCCACATTTAAATAATGATTACAAAAGTCGTTTACGACTAAAATGCCGCTCAACCTCTAACACCTTTTTTGGGACCTCAAAAAGATGCAAAAATGTTTGCCGCTCCTTCCTCGGGCTTTCCTCTAAACCCCCTCGTTGACAGTGAAAAACGGAAAACATTGATTTACCAAGAATCGTAGAAATACCAGATAGAAAAAAATGTTTCAAACTAGAAATGTAGCAGGCAATTTTAAAGAAAAATGTGTGTTAACACTTTTGGTGTAGAATAAATAGTTCTCTCAGAAATAACGCTTGAAGCGACTGGCAATTTTGAATGTTAGTTACACGAGCGAAATCAAATTTTTAAGTAAAATTTCGACTGTAAAAATTCAATATCTTTAAATAGGAGTGCCCCATTGTGACGGGTAGCTCTTTCGAGACGACAGACCCAGTAAAACACAGGTTGAAATAGAAATAAATCTATTAATTTAACGTATATACAATAAATAAAAATAAAATGTATTCTATGTCCCCGTCTGGATCCCACGATGAGTGAACTCCCCGGCGAACGTCTGTAAAAGAAAACAAATTTATTATTACTAATAAAGAAATGAAATACGCGAAGTCTATCGCACACAGACTTATACTCGCTTCCACTTCAATTCAGCGGAAGCTCCGAACGCACTCGCAAACAAAATATTCGGTTGTGCAGACCCACGGTAACGTTCAATTCACGATACCGATGGGTTCTGCTTAGTTGAGGACAGAGTACGATCCTCAATACGGAAATCTCTCTGTCTGGGTTGGCTCGCAAGTTCACTACACCAGCAAGTCAGGAAGCCTAGAGCGCTAGCTACAAGACTATCTAAATCCGCTAGTCTATCTAATATCGACACTCCCGCGGTTCGAACTCTTAAACGATCAGAATATCGTTACACCATCGACAAAAATCAAATTTTAAAGGTGAAAAAGGCAACTTTCGCATCCAATTTTTACGTTTTGGCACTAATGAAGTCAGGTTCTATGAGGCTGTTAAATAAATAAAATAATCATTTTTAGTTTTCCTCCAAATGTTTTAGTTAAAGGTCGGGTACCATGGGACGCTAGAAACTATCTGCCTACTTCTTGCTAGAGGAGGTAACATGCTTGAGAGTTATATGCTGTGAACATAACTTTGAAGTATACCCAGTCAAATACATAACAAAATTAGTATTTGGTAGACATGCGTTAATAGGGCTGAAGTACTGCATAAAAAAAGCAGAAACAAGCTCAGAATCATCCCAAAAAAATGTTACAGTAAACCCAAATAGAATAGGTCAATGTATACAAATATGCGGAAACTTGGGCGTAGTACCAACTAGGTTGGACGATAAATGACGTTGTCATAGTGTGTCTTTACTTTATTTATTCCAGCGTTGTAAGATTTTGTTTATCATCTGCAGTTTCAGCATGCAAAGTTTTATAATTTGATTTTTCTTTTAGGTTTACGTCAGAATGAGATCAAACCGAAATCCGAAAAAACGTTGGTAACACACACCGGAAAAAAGTCTTTCAAGTGTGAAATTTGTTTTAAGCAATTTAGTGATGGTGGAACTTTAAAAAAGCATTTGAGAGTACACACCGGGGAAAAGCCTTACCAGTGTAAAATTTGTTTTAAGCAATTTAGTCAAGATGGACATTTAAAAACGCATTTAAGGATACACACTGGAGAAAAGCCTTATAAGTGTGAAATTTGTTCTAAGCAATTTAGTTCTAATGATACTTTGAAAAATCATTTAAGGTTACACTCTGGAGAAAAGCCTTATAAGTGCGAAAATTGTTTTAAGCAATTTACTGACAATAGAACTTTAAAAAAGCATTTAAGAGTACACACCGGGGAAAAGCCTTACAAGTGTGAAATTTGTTTTAAGCAATTTAGTGATGGTGGAGCTTTAAAAAAGCATTTGAGAGTACACACCGGGGAAAAGCCTTACCAGTGTGAAATTTGTTTTAAGCAATTTAGTCGTGATGGAATTTTAAAATACCATTTAAGGATACACACTGGAGAAAAGCCTTACAAGTGTGAAATTTGTTTTAAGCAATTTAGTCATAATGAAACTTTGAAAAGTCATTCAAGAGTGCACACTGGAGAAAAGCCTTACAAGTGCCAATTTTGTCTTAAGCAATTTAGTAATGCTGGAACTTTAAAAAAGCATTTAAGAGTACATACCGGGGAAATGCCTTACAAGTGTGAAATTTGTTTTAACCAATTTACTGACATTAGAACTTTAAAAAAGCATTTAAGAGTACACAACGGGGAAAAGCCTTACAAGTGTGAAATTTGTTCTAAGCAATTTAGTCATAATAAAACTTTGAAAAATCATTTAAGGATACACACTGGAGAAAAGCCTTACAAGTGTGAAATTTGTTTTAAGCAATTTAGTCAATATGGAAATTTAAAAACGCATTTAAGGATACACACTGGAGAAAAGCCTTACAAGTGTGAAATTTGTTTTAAGCAATTTAGTGTCGTTAGAAATTTAAAAGTACATTTAAGAGTACACACCGGAGAAAAGCCTTACCAGTGTAAAATTTGTTTTAAGCAATTTAGTCATGATGGAACTTTGAAAAAGCATTTAAGAGTACACACCGGGGAAAAGCCTTAAGGGAGCTTTACATCTAGGCTATGCAAGTCTCATGCTATGCAAGTCCGTCTTGCATGGAACATCTCTTGCCTAGCTTGACCTTTTTACATCAGAGATATTTCTGTGCAATTTTAGATCCCACTTTCATTGTTGCCAACAGAGAAAATATTTAACAATTTGAGGTTATTTTATTTTAAATAAAAATATAATTAAGTACTAAAATAAATAATATAATAAATAAATATACACTATTTATGGTTATTAAAAGGGTGAAGGATGTCAACCAAAGAAAAGAAAACATTGTTATTGTTGAATATTGCTGTTGTAGCAACAATCATCCATAGTCAACGACTCACCCAGTCGTTTTTACATTAACTTTAGACATAGTATATCTATTTATCACCACTTAATAAACTTAATTTAAATCAAAACACAACAATACACATGTGGGTTAAGGGACGCTAAAGATAGAGATAAGGTTATGCTTTATTCTGTAATCTATTATAAATTGTTATGTTGGCAACATGAATTTTAACGATAAATTGCAAGAAAATTGCATGAAAAATAGAACATGTTCTATTTTTCGTCTAGCACAGGAATTGCATGGAAATAGCCCGTGGGCATGCGCAGTTCCATGATCTGTCTTGCATGGCTCTTGCCTAGCATGAAAATAGCATAATGTAAAACTGTCTTTAAAAGTGTGAAATTTGTTTTAATAGACCTTACAGCTGATTATCGGACTACCGACGTCATAGAATGCGGTGTTGCCTTTTTTACTTCATAGCTTGGAAGTAAAGGTGGCTGTGGTCTGGTTTATGTTTTTCCTTCTAAAAACATGACGCGCGTGCTGAAAAACTTCAAAGGCGGCATCTGAGAGTGGGCATTCTGATTGTTTATTATTCTCTGACCTGTTTTTGTACATTTTTTTAAACTTTATGTATGTAATAAATTTTATTATTATTATTAAAGTGTACTTGAAAAGTACTAAAAATGAAAGTAATTTTATTCCAAATATACTTCATCTAATTTAGATAACGACTTACGTCATTATCTACATCAGAGATCGAAGTTGACATAGTTGCCAAAGTATAAAAAAATCCTGATTCCATTTTAAATCAAATAGATTACATAATTATTGCAAAAGTATTACCATCTCTTTACAACGACTATTTAAATTCTTACGTGACATTTTTGAAATAAAACACACTAATTTTGTTCTAAAAAGAACAGATTTTATTAAATAGTTAAAAATATAAAACAAGAGATATTCACTTTAAAATTCAAAATAATAAAGTACAAAAAGTGTCAACACCGCAACTGTCAAATAAGTGTTACAAATTTATGCCAAAATTTTACCTTCGTTCGATTACAGTTACAGTGTGTTCCGAACAAATGTTCTTGATAAAAACGCTTTATAATGCAATTATAGAAATTAAATGAAACATATTATTGTGTATTTCTTTAAGTTAACATAAATAGAAATTTTTAAATATTATTTCTACGCGTTTATAATAAAATATGTCTAGTGGCTGTAATGCCAGTGTACTCGGTAAAGTGATTCTAAAAAAGAACACACCTACACCCTAAATATTTTGTGTTGGTATCATGTAACGTCACAGGCTATGACGCCGATGACGTGCATCGTTATATAAATTAGATGAAGTGTAACTATTTTTAATCTAACCCAATAGCAATACTTATTCCCAAACTAAACAGTAAATCGTAAATACAGTTTGAATTAATTTGAATCCGTACCTGCCCGTCGCCATATTGGCGTTTTTGTCATATCCCCTCTCTTTCATATCTCTGTCTGGTGTCTTGTCTGCTCTGCTTGTGAGTGTGCCTTGTCTTTTGTTTTGGATTTGTCCATTTTTTTCCACAAGTGAATATTTAATTGAATGAAACGAACACAATTATTTAAACATACAGTATGGAGACACAGGAAGACATTTACACAAAAAGTGAAGTATCTAATATAAAATGCGAAACCCAATTAGAGAACGATGATGTGAATAATACAGAATTTCCAGTTACTATAAAAAATGAATTTAAACAAGAATTACTTCTACTCGAAGATAATACAGCTAATGAAGATTCTAAAGATTGGCTCAATCAAATGAATACAGAAATATTTATTGAAAATGTAAAACATGAACAAATTGAAGATAATAGTAATTTGTTAACCTGTAAAAATTTGAAGTGTGAACCAAATATTAAAGATGATAAAGACGTAATTGAAGAAAATCAGATTCAATGTGGTATGTATAAATCAAAATAGTTTTGGGAAAATAATTTTTAAAAAATAGAAAAGGAAAAATATAGATAATCCTAATCGTTTGTAAACTGTAATTACAAAAATGGTTTTTTTTTTAAGTGGGTGCATCTCTAAAATATATCTTTATTTTTCAATATAAATGTAACCTCAATTCAGCTATTTGTCTTTTGTAATAATGGAATTAAACAGAGCCTTGGAGATTAGCCTTGATCTTAAATATGTATAGTTTTTGCTTACTATTAAAATGCTAACATTTTAGTTTGATTTATTGTGATTTTGAGTGTTGTTTTACATATGGGTGGCTTGTTTGTTCTTTATGTGATAAATTAATGTGTTTAGTCAGAACAAACTGCACATGTGAAAGTTTATTATTCTGACCATAGACATAGGGTAAGCAGTACAGTCGTTGGCACTCTTATAGTGATTGGCACTGCTCGAATATAATTGTAAAAAATAAGAATTCTACTCGACACTTGAGTGTCTTAAAATGGCAAAACGTAGCAATACATATCAGACATGCGTAGTACACATTTCGTTTGCTTATAATCAACACGGTAGTTATAGACTACCTACTGTATAGTCGACGTGTTTGAACGCTGTGCGAACATTAGTGAATTTTAGTGAAAATCTTAAGAACTTTTGTGTGTATTTATTGAGTAGAAGTGCATATTACTTGAAATAAAAGGTTAGTATTTATTAATGTCATTAAGGAAACATTAATTTACGTTAATTTGAGTATATTTCGGGATGTTTTAAACGTTTATGCTATAAATTGGGGGTGCCAATAACTGTATAACAAAACCGTTAAATTACAGTTATTGGCATGGGGTGCCAATAACTGCAATAGTTGTTAAATATGTAAAGTGCATAAAACTTAGTTTAAGGTGCTTCATAATTAAGTCTTTTATCCGAAATTATTCGTATTTTATACCAAATAACTTCATAGACAGTTGTTGGCACTAGTGCCAATAACTGTATTGTACTGGTGCCAATCACTGTGTAGTTAAAAAATCTCATTTTATTTTACAGAAATCATAAATTTAAATTTTGTTTACCCTTTTACGCGACAATGCAGTTAAAAGTTCAACAGACTTGTAGGACTACTTGCGGAATGGGAGGATTAGATTTAGCTCCATTGTTTATAATATTTCATTCTTATTTTTGCCGTTTTTGACTAACTCTGCAAATTATTTGCAGATAATCATGCCAAAATCAAAAACTGGATTAAAATATGTTAAGAAGTATGATGAAGAAACAGTCTCGAAAGCTTTAGATGAAATAAATAATGGATTGTCCAAAAAGGCTGCTTCAAAAAAATATGGAATTCCACGTTCAACTTTGCAGTTTCGTCTAAGTCAAGACTTTATGAAAACAACTTTAGGACCAAACCCTATTCTTTCAGTGGAGGAAGAGCAAACATTGGTAGATTGGATACTGGAAAGTCATCGAAAAGGTTTTCCCCGAAGAAAAGAAGACTTGCAAATAAGTGTGAAGACTTTTTTGGATGATAAACCACGACCAAATCCATTCAAAGATAATCTTCCAGGAGACGGATGGTATAAGGCATTCTTGAAGAGACATCCAATATTATGCGAACGAGTACCTGAAGCAGTTACTGCCGCGAGTTCTCGAGTTAGCGAAATGGACATTCGAAAATGGTTTCGTGGAATTGAAGTATACCTGAGAGATCAAAAATACTTCGAAATTCTCAATTCGCCTGGTCGAGTTTTTAATTCCGATGAAACGTGCTTTCTGTTATGCCCTAAGAACAAATCCGTATTAGCACCAAAAGGTGCAAGGAATGTGTATGAAGTAGATAATGCCCCAGCTAAGTCAAATTTAACTGTTTTATTTACGTTTTCAGCTGAGGGACGGGTGACCCCCCCTTTTATTATTTATCCATACAAAAGGCTACCTGCCAATATTGCTGCTTCAGTGCCTGACGAGTGGGGTGTTGGTACAAGTCCAAATGGATGGATAAAAACTGAGCTATTTTTTGAATATATAGGAAACGTTTTTCATCCTTACCTAGTGAAAGAAAACACAAAATTTCCCGTTATTTTGTTTGTGGACGGTCACAGTTCTCACATTTCTTATCAATTAAGTGATTTGTGTTCTCAGCTACAAATTATTTTAATTTGTCTTTATGGAAATTCAACCCGAATTCTTCAACCGGCTGACGTTTCTGTATTTAAGCCACTTAAATCATATTGGAAAAAAGGTGTTATGGAATGGAGGAGACAACATAGCGCCGAAGCAATCACACAAGACAAAGTGGCAGGTATTTTAAAAACAGTGATTGATCTTTATTTAAAACCAGAGATAATAAAAAATGGCTTTGTAGCAACGGGTTTATGTCCATGGAATCCAGATGCCATAGATTATACCAAATGCGTTGGAAAAAACTTAATCTCTCCTTCTCCTTCTCAAGATTTAAAAATAAACGACCTACCTTATGAAAAATTTAAAGAAATTGTAGGACCAACACTTCTTGAACATTTTAAAAACATAAAAGAAATTACAAACGATGGGACCGAAGAATTTTGGATTCTCTATAAACTATGGAAAGAATTCGACAAAGTTAAAGATAATGAAAATTCTCAGCAAGTCACAGATACGGAACACTATGAAGGCATTCAAAATGAATTAGAGAATATACGAGTAAAAACCATCCATAATAACTTCGAATGTGTGGAAAGTGTTGAGAACATACTTACAGATCCAGAACCGTATGAAGAGGCTCAAAATGAATTAGATAACATAGGAGTCAAAACTACTGAAAATAAATTAGAATGTATGGAAAGAAACATTGAGCAAGTACTAACTGAACACAGTCATTTAAACGAATTTGACTCTGGGCATATTATCATTGACATAGCAGACGATATTGACATCAACAACATTAGCGAACTATTCAATACAGGAGAGGATCCATTAGTATTTGCTGATTTGGGAACAGAAGACCTAAAAATAAATAACAACCCACAACATGGGCATAACAAAGATGATAATCTTCCATCAACAAGTAGTGAAATGAATATTAGAACTAAATCAAACAATATGGCTAAAAATTCAATCATCGATTATTTACTTTGGCCGGAGAGTCCCCTTAGGAAAGGTAAAAGAGATACTGAACGAATTCCTTTTGTACTTACCTCAGAACAATGGAAAAAGATACATTTCGAAAAACGAGAAAAAAAAGAAAATCTTGAGAAAGAAAAAGAAGAAAGAAAACGTAAAAGAATCGAAAAGAAAGAAAAAACCCAATTGGAGAAGAGTGTTTCCAAAAGAATATGTGGAGGAAAAAAGATACTGAAAAATATTACACAGACAAACATATTGAAGGCTAGCCCTAATGTGTCGACTAAAGCTAACGTCACTTTAGGCCATAAAATTGGCGTAACGGAAAAAACAAAAGTCGAGAACATTAGTGATAACACTAGTGCGTCAGAAAATATAAATATAATCTCCAATATTCAAGTAAAGAGTGCGATAGAAAGTGCTAAGAGAAATGTGCTTATTGATGAAACACATGATGTCGAAAAGAAAGCAAAAACCCAATCGAAGAAGAGTGCTACCAAAAGAAGTTGTGGAGGAAAAAAGACATTGAAAAACAATGCAATCAAAAAAATAGTCAAGACTAGATCTGGTGTGTTGAATAAAGCTAGCTCCAATTTAATCCATAAAATTGGGGTAAAGGTAAAACCTGTTGAAATCGAGAACATTAATGATAACACATCGGAGAATATTAATATAATCTCCAATATTAAAATAAAAAGTGCGATAGAAAGTGCCAAGAGAAATCTATTTAGTGATGAAAAAGATGATAGGAATAAGGAAGTTGTGGGTGTGATATCTAAAATACGCGGGGAAGGGGTAACTAAGGGATTATGTTTTAGTTGTACAAGAAACATACATAATGCGTGTCCAGGTTATAAATGCTTGAACTGCAGTCGAGCCTACCATGAAAATTGTATTCATAAACATAATATGTTTAATGTATTGAGAGACGAGATTTTTAAATGCAAAACATGTAAAACAAAAAAGAATTAAACAGTTGTTAGTTATTCAATCTAAGCTTATTATTTCCTTACATCTTTCTGAGAATCTATTCCATCGATTTACTTATAGTTATCTATTACATCTTTACCTTTCTGGGAATCAAGATGTGTCCGTTGAAGAGAAAAAAATAAATATGATAATTTATGTCTTTATATATTTTTTATATTATTATATTATATTATTTTAATTTTTAACAACTCTCTGTCTCTCATCAAACATTCGAGTCAACATTGTTATTCCAGTCAAAACACATTTTAACATTTAACAACGTTATTATCAGAGCACCTAATGTTCCTTTAGTCGGCAGTTATTTATCCATCGAGACAGACATTAGTTGACACTAATAAAAATATGCAAATCAGGTTACCTTGAGTACAGTGATTAACAAAAGGATTGAATTCACTACCTTAGTAAAAGTTGGGAATTACGGGGGGACAATATGATAACACAATCGTACCGGAAGGTTACATGAAGATTTAATACACCTTGGGATTTAGTTTTTATAGAACAAGTTTTCTGAGAATAGATAATTTTAACCTGTCATTATTGTTAATACACAAGTTTTACTTTCCATAAGCAAAAATACTTTTTGGCTGTAAATAATTAGTCTTAATTTATGTGTTTTTAATCCAATCTAATAAATAAATGATCAAACATCGCACATATTTTATAAAAAAAATAATGTCACACAAAGGACATAAAACTTACATGAATTAAATTGGTCTCGTAAATCTTTGTTTGTTGTCTCGGCCGTTAATGGATTACGTAGATATGCTGTATATTAAAATTATACACCACAGATATAGATATTAAAATAACAAATATCTTACTTTTTTCGTGCCTTTCATTTATATGAAAAAATTGTCTTTTAAATAAAAAAAAATGTTTATATACTATTATATACATCAAATGATTTTTTGTAAACTGTCCGTATAGAGGAGGTGTCCGGAGAAATGAGGTTCTGTTAAGAGAGAGTTTACTATACTTAGCTTCCATTTTGGTTATTTATATTTAATTTGCTCCCATCAAAATTAGATGTGCCAATCACTGTGTATCAAAATGTGCCAATCTCTATAGCACCAGTGCCAATCACTATGATTTTGTGTATTTTCTTGTTTATTAATTTTTATTATTTATAAATCAAAAGTTAACACAAAGTTAAAACCAAAATATGATTTTTCACTAATTTGAGACATTGCAATATTTGTTTTGAAATATTTTAACTAAAAACATAGCTGTGGTGAAATAATAATTAACGAGGTATTGCTTAAAGTGCCAATGACTGTACCGCTTACCCTATAAAGGTGGGTACACATATGCTCCGAATGCCGTTTCGAACCCCGTCGCGTTCTTAAGTGTGGACGGAGTCATGCAACCGCGTACCGTACCTCGACGCGTCAACAACGTACATCGAAGCGATCCATCGGTTGTCGGTAAAATACCTACGCATCAAAAGAAATTTGAGCGCGGCAATGTACACCGCGAATTCATGTTTGGACTAGCTTGCGAATCTTTTATCGAATCTCCAGTCATTCAAAATAGTCAGTCTGTTATTTTGAAGGTTGACGGTGTTTTTAAAGTTGAGTGCATCAAAATGGAATGGACCATCTCCTTTCACGAATATTTTTCGTTTTATTAACTGAATAATGCATAAGAATGTAGGCTGCTGCAGCAACATCCATCTTGCACATGCGAATTCAACTCAATTACTGCTGGAACGCTAAAATGTTTGGTACAAAGTACGGAGCGGTGTTCGGTTCGTTACTTATTTCAATGCCCCCTGTAACAACGTCGCGAACTTCGGACGACGTTAACGGTATTCGGAGCATATGTGTACCCACCTTAATACAAGATAGACTTATGGCTGCAATATAATCCTGTTCTTCCAGTATACCAGAGCAAACTGATGCACAGTGTTGCCAGGTGACATGAACCATTTTGTGGTAGGTCGAACTTGAAAAATACTGTAGAAAACGGTAGAAATACCATAAAGATGACAAATTTGTTGTTTTTTACATTATCTAATGCCAATGGTCTATTTAAATGCTTTTTTTTATATAGTATGTTCATTTGTAAATAATTTTCATCAGAAAATACATACAAAATTTTTAAAAACATAATTTTTATTTAAAAATTAACCTAAATAAACTTCAAAAACATTAACTGAAATGAAAACTAAATCTAAAAAACATGGTAAAACAAAACGCAACACCGAATTATAAAAAAAATCAACTATTAGATCTTGTCAATATCCGAGTTCTGCTTGTAAATGTTTCGCATATCATTTTCTACCTTAAAATTATAACAACTTCCGTCTGAGTCAACTATTCTCTTGCTATGTAGTAGTACCTCAATAGTCTTTGTGCTTAATTTATTTCTCTGCTTATTTTTTAATATATTGACAACCGAAAAAATTCTTTCTACATTTGCACTTGAATGCGGAATTAAAAACAAGTAGGGATAAATTGGGGAACATATTTAGTCCACTACCATAATTCATTTCACTTACTTAACTCCAAAATGCTAATATATCATTATACTCAGACAACTCAGTTTTTCGTAAAAGTCTCCACTCATTATCTAATGATTGAAAATCGCCCTGATCCCAATATTGCCCAATTTTGGTAAAATATGTGGAATTGAATTCACCAAATCAGGATTTATGAACTGCAGATCTTCCAAGATCATATTTTTTATGGGAAACCTTTTTAATAACTGGTCCACACCCTCTATATAAAATTCTAAATACTTTAACTTTACAAATTCTAAATCATTTTCATCTATTTTTTTTTATAGACTAGACGTAGAAATGTCGGAACCAAAATAAATCTCCTGAATTGGTAACATATTTCTGGGATTTTTATAATCTATATCCAATACTGCAGTTTTATCAATGATGTCTCTCTTTATAAAATAGTCCCAAAGAGTTTTTATAAGAGATTTGACAAATCAGGCACCACCTAGGATTTAGGGATTTTACCAATGTTTATTTGAGTAAATCCCAGAAAATTCAACTTTTAATGTTACATTCTTAATTACCACTTACCTCTGCTACATCATAGTTGCGCGAATAATTAAATTTTGTCTCATATTCTTTAAAAATGTATCAAAATTAGAAACGGAAAGTCTCAAAAAGATAATCGTCAATTAAATATAAGTATATTATGTTTTGTCAAATGCTTTAAATTAAAAAATTCAGTAGAATAAGGTGTTAAAATGGTAGAGCGGTAGATCGAGGTGGAAAACGGTAGATCTACCGTAAAAATGGTAGACCTGGCAGCACTGCTGATGCAAAACAGTGCGTATATCTCTGTATAATGGGCCAGATTTATGGAACATATAATCTCAATTTTGCTTTACGCCAGTTGAGGGTTTGCCTCAGTTTTCTCTGTTACACTGGGGGAACGGGCTGATATTGCGACAATCAGTCTATCTTTTATTATATGTCTATAGTTCTGACTTAATTATAACTTAACCTTAAATTACCAGAACACAGGAAGGAACCTAGGTTTTCATCATTATTAATATGAATTTTCTGTTTTAAAGTTTTTGTTTTTATATTATATAAATATAAAAGAGTTTAAATATGACTCAGTAACGCTTCAGAAATATGTACATAATAAATTTGATAATGAGTGTTCATTTTTATTGAAGAATCAATAGTAGAACACTACTAGTTAAATCTGTAATTAATTTTAACAGTAGTAAATATATGCATAATAAAAATAATTTTTTCCGCAAATCGCCCGGAAAATTTTGACATTCCTGTCAAAATTTCTTGAAGAAAAAGTTAGGACTTCCTTACTGTAAGGAAATGTCATTTCCTTACTGTAAGGAAATGATATTTCCGTACAGTTGTTAGTGTTCTACATAAATCATAGAAAACACATTGCTTATAAGGAATTAATTTATATTTTGAAAACATCAAGTCATTGCTGAATACATTTTTAAGATCAATTTGTTATATTTACAGTAATTTGACAGTTAGTACAATTATTGAACATTGGAGGAACACTCTTAGAACTATGAGAAACATTTTGGACAACATGCAGGGTGGAAGTGTCATTTTGTTGAATATTTGGTACTGTGAAAATTTTATTTGCCACCTCAACCTTATTGTTAAGCGATTCTTCGATATATCCTTCAGCGTTTGATGACTTCCATCCGCCATGCCTCTTTAAACTAGTTATGTCGGCACCAGAGTCAACCAATATTGTTGCAGAAGACCGACGAAAGCAGTGACCAGTATATTCTGTCGGATTTACCAAGTTCAAATAAGTAGCAATTATTTTGGGCATTTTTCTAAATTGATGAATTCCTACCACTTGTCTACAACCCTTTCCGCTTTGATATTTAAAGAAAAATCGGTCACTGTTCATATTTTCTGGTCTTAACGAAACATACTTTCGATAAACATTCAAGTAGATCTGATTAATTACAAATGATCTTGGTTTGTTGGTTTTCGAATCAGGTATGCTGATTAAAAGCTTTGATTCTAAGTCTTCTATATCGTGTACAGTCATTCGGACTAACTCATCCATTCTACAGGCCCCAGAAATACCAAATATTACAGCCACCTAAAAAATAAATAAAGCTATAATCTAAATAGAAATTAAAACCTTGTAAATTACCTTAATCATTAAATTTTCTTTATCTGGAGCTTCCTGGATAAATTTTTCAATTTCTTCCTTCTTTAAAATCTTAGATTTCTTTGCCCTATAACCTTGAGCTTGCCGTTTCAATAAAGAACGAAGTTTTGAGTATGTAGATATATCTACATTGTGTTTAAGTGCAAAGGTTGACTTCAGCATTGAATAATTGGCCCATAATGTTGAAGATTTCATCTTTAAACAAAGGTGTAGGAAGTATGCCATTACAACATTTTCTGAGAAAGAACTCGTATTTTTACTCATGCAATAATCCATAAAACATCTGTATGCATTTTCGTACTTTTCTCTTGATTTCTTTGGCAATAATTCTAATGAAGCAGT